GTATGAAACTTAAAGCTGGGCTTAAAGTTTTGTAAAAGTAAGAATATGATGGGTTGTGGAGTGGTTAATTAGTGAGTGATCTATGAATAGTTTGTTTATGATTGCTTGCACTATTTATATGAATGCACATATATAGAAGAAATAATTCCCAGTATTCTATAGGTACACTTATTTTTTACCCTAAAGTTCTCAACATATTGAATTTTAAGATATGAACAATTTTCAATTTTGTGTTTTAAAACTTAGACAAATTAAATGCAATATTTCGTAAGTTTTAAAATATATTGTTACTATTCTGACTTGTACTTGAAGTCTGTATTGCTAACTTTATCTTGTGAAAGGGGACTTGTTTTGTATGGAGAGAGACAGGGAAATAGTTTCAGTCAAATATAAACCATAAATATACTTAATTATCAGTAATTTGTTTTGTTTAACCTGGTATATCTGTCCAGAATGCCTAAAAGTGGTAAGGAATTGGCACCGGTGTAGGGCGAGCAGCAGTATGCCCACAGCACTCCACGTGGGAGGAACAAAGTTGCTCCCAGTGACCTGAGCATGAAATCCGTGATGGAAGATGCTGACATGCAGCTCACACCATATCATTCCTCTTCCCTTATTGTTCAGCCTTCGGCTGCATGGAGAGTGGCAGTCCTGAGCTGGTCATCCTTCAGCAGTACCTTCACACTTAGCTGTTTCTCTCACTGCTTCTTCATACCTTCTTCCAGGTTCTTGCCTGTGGCTGCACCCACTCTACAAATGTTCAATTAATTGGTCTGTTTTTCCATAACTGACAGCTCAACAGAAATGCAGCTGAATTAAAGAATATGCTCTTTCAAATCCTGAAAATATCCACACCTAAACTGATACTTCTCACCTCCAGCTTCATCCACGTCATTTTCTCTTGTTCCACACTGTCTGATCTCCACAGGCATTTTAGTAAGCAGTTACTTCCTTTAGGACTATTTGTATAAGAGATGGCTCATCCTTACTTGTTATGATGTCATTAGCTTATTTTCAGATCACTGAGACAGGTGTCTTTCCTGCCTTGTAAACTGCAGGGCTGCTGAATACGATTGGTTTTTTTAAATAGACATGGTTAAAAAGGAAGGATTTCATAACTAATGTAAGATGTAGCAACACCTATGTGGTTATATTTCCTGTGGCTTCTTATCTGATATAATGTCTTAATTCATTATCACCCTTTCATCCAGAAGTAGCTCTGTGATGCAAACCCACCAACAATTCTTCAGTTATGCAGTAAAATTACCCATTATTCTATCATTTTGCTGTATAACTGAAAACTTGATTGTAATTTTACAATTCTGGATTGGTTGTTTCCCTTGTAAGCTCTTTTTGGTTTTCAGAAGTCATATTAATCATTTTATCCTTGTCTGTGATAAATAAATGCATATTTAATCTTCATGTATAAATAATGTGCTCTTCTGAATGTGCCAAACAAAATGTGATGAATGGTAGGGCCATTTTCAGTCTCTCTTTTAGATTTCCTTGTGATGCTACTAGACACAAGGAGAATTGAGTCTCAGTCCCTCGGGATGTGTTACCGTTGTAATGGAATTAATAGAGCTGATAAAATAGATAATTCATAATGTAGTATCTTTGGACAAAGCTTCTCAAAAGAGCCCAAAACAGTCCAGCTAACTTCTGGTTAGGAACTGGCAATCACTGACTCACCTTTTTTTTTCCTTTTTTTTTTTTTCCCCTCCAGTTAACTGCTCTTATTAATCATATAATAATGAATAACAACTGTCCTTCTATGTCCTCCCCTCTAAAAAAATATAACTAAGGAGGGGCTGTGGAGTCAAACCAACCAAACAAAAGAAGACACATAAGAAAAACATTTCATAGGAAAAGCCCATTATATTTCTAGTTGAACAGAGGAATTTAACTTTTTCCAGTAGGCTGAAATATACATATGTATATTTCCTGTACTCAGCACTTATGTGGTATGCTCTAGGAACTTCTCATTTAAAGACCTTTAATAGTAGCACCTACATGCTTTTTAACCATTCCACCCATATCTATTTCCAACACTTTAACTATAACCTGCTTATCTATGACTCAGACATGTTTTGACCACAAGATTAATTACCAGTGCACTCGGATTCCTCAGGGTTGTGATTTCCATATGCTTCTGGGTAGATGATAAACCCTCTTTGTTTCTCAGAAAATTTATATCTCCCACAGAACCAAGAAAACTGACAGTGGAGAGTGAGGGAAAGGCAAGGCATTGCTTGTTTCTTAAGGTTGAGATGCATCTCCCTACCTCAGTTCAACAATGTTTATTATATAATATTATTTACTAACATAACATTCTCCTTCTGGAGAACTCTTGAAACAGAAAACACAAAATAAGGCTTTAAGAAGTGGTCACACAGGAGTTTGGACATCAAACTGTCATGAACAGGATGGAGCACATCCCAGAATTACAATCTACAGATAAAAAAAAAACCCCTCTATGTATATTATGATAATTGTATTGCTGATTTTACTTTGACTTCCTATGGTAGCCTACTGGTCATCAATCAAGGGGAAAGTTGATTGCCACATACCATTATAGATGAAATGACACTAAATGAGATAAACTTGGTTTTAAGTTGGTTTAATTTCAAAACCTTTTGAAGACAACAGAACTTCAGCAATACTGAAAAAACTATATAAATTATACAGCATTTTAGATTAAATGCATTAGATACATTAGATTATTCTGAGCTGCATGCATTTAGGTAATGTCTGAATGGAAGGACTATACAATTCTGGACCACTTCATCTGATTAGGAAAATTTACATTATACATAGTAAAGCTAATGATAGATGTGAAGGTGGAGTTATATCTCACGTAAGCCATCTGCTTAATCTATGTGTGTTCCTAACATTCACTGTTCTGTGAGTTTGTCCAAAAGAAGGTTAAAAAGGTAATTTAGTAGAGTCATCTGTAATGGAAAAGATTTCTAATAGAACAGGACACTTAAATTAACCAAACCAAATAATTATAAAGTTCAGCAGCTGAAATGCATATCTATATAAATTAAGACTGGAAAAGGGACATACATTATTAACAATGAAGACAAGAAACAACTGGAAGAATTTGAAGGGACATGGTGGTCACTTCTAGTCTTTAAACTAGGTTTGTATGCTTTTCTACAATAAATGGCTTAGCACATGTTTATTCATTAATCACTAGAAAAGCTGAAGTTTTGACAGATTTGTTCTATATGATTTGCACAGTTTTATTAAAAAGTTGCAAATTTAAATATCTTTAAATATTAGTTTTAAGTAATAAAGTTATAAATAAGAATTGGAAGAAGTGGTGCAAAGTATTTTGTCAAAATCAAAAATGTATTTACTACCTATATGTGTGTGTATATATTCTACCTCTCCTCCTGTGATCAACAGAGAGTTGGTATCTAGATCTGCTTCACTACCCTCCTGCTGTACACCTCCGTACACAGCTGAGACCGAGTTCCTGCAAGCCTGATAATCGGGAAGTTGTTCCTTCTGCCCCCTCTTGCAGAGAAGTTTGATCTAATTTAGCTACACTTTTTCTAACAGTCACATGGATTCTTAGGCATGATGGAGGTGAGTCAGTTAATTAAAACGAATTTAGCATAGGTGCAATCATGCCAGTACTTCTGCTGGTTTGTGTGTTATTCCTGTATCTCTCCCGACACACAGTGACCAAAAAAGAGGATACAAAGTGGTGTGGGTTTCTTTTTATTTTTTTACCCCTAGTGGTTAGGTAACCATTAAAGAGTGTAGAACTGCTGGTATAAACTGTTTTTAAAAAGGAAGAAAAGAATTAATGTATTTTAACTGCTGTATAATCTCAACAGTGATATTGAACATTTTCTGCCCCGATGTATGTTTGAAGCACTATGATAATCATAGATGTAATCCTTTAATTGCCCTTTTATAACTGTTTAGAAAGCATATAGCAAATTTTCAGCAAAATAAAGTTCTTCAAGCCTCAGTGGCTTACATTTTTGGTTTTTAAGAAGGATGCTTCCAGTTGAAGACTTTTGATGTTAACCTTATTGGTCCATTGATAACAGTGATAGTACATAAATAAACACTGGCATAAAGCTTAAAATTAACATTAAGGTCTCAGTCCTGAACATGCTAAGAAAAATGCTCAGTGATGTTTATTCAAATCTTTACTGTTCTGAAGTGCAATAAAGCTCATGATCAGTATCGGAAAGTTTAGCACAAAAGAGGCTATTTTTTAAAACCATAGCAGCACTATGATGCAAACTAATTGCCATTCTGTGGAAGTACCACCGTAGAATTTAATTTCAAAATTACTTTCCATTTACTTTTTATATTTTTGCATTTTAATTGTAAATATTTTTGAAGTTCCTTATTGGCTAGTAAGCTCTTTGGAGTTGGGACAGTGGTCAAATATTTTGTATCTATTTTTAACTTTTACAGTGTTCTTCATTAAGTGACATCATCTAGCTGTCGTCTTCAAATAATAATGTAATTCAAGGGTATTGCTATTTGACAATCTTTGTTCTGTAAAACTTACACTGTGTAGGAATAAAAGGAACGTACAGCTATTAAAATGATATTGCATCTGCAGTTAAAATGCCCATATCCGCCCCAGTGTCAGCAGTGCTGGGTGGGGGGATGTTGCAGTGGGGCCGTCATGGGAGTGTGGTGCCAGCACTCCTGAAAGGGAGACACGCAAGATGGGAAAAATAGCAGGAAAAAGGTGCATTTTTAAATAACATGTCACCAGAACTTTTGCATGGTAACAAAGGTCATCTAAAGCAGCTGGGTATTTGCAAAAGAAGACTTTGACAGCACAGAGATACTTAATCTCTAAATCAGGTTCAACGATGCATTAGAGGAAGCTGGATTTGCTGTACAGAGCTTCACACTGAAGGAAGAATAGTGAAGAAGAGTTTTATGATGCCGTTACAGGCTTTGATTCTGACAATTCTTTGGGAGACTTTTCAGAAGCAAATCATAAAGTTGCAGAAATGCTTGATCTAGATCCACATCAAAGCAGTGGGACTGGAAAGCATAATGGAGAGACAGAGACTCAAGAAAATGGAATTAAGAGACACAGGACATCATTATCTGCCCCAATGTTTTCTAAAAGTGATTTTAGTGTGTGGAACATATTAAAAAAAATGCACTGGACTGGAGCTGTCTAAAATGCCTATTGTCTTAAATGAGCCATTGAGTTTTCTTCAATGGATAACAGAATATATGGAACATATATACCTCATTAATAAGGCTTGTAGTCATGCAGACCCCCTGGAAAGAATGCAGGCTGTAGCTGCTTTTGCAGTTTCTGCTGTGGCTTCTCAGTGGGAGAGAACTGGCAAACCATTTAACCTGCTGTTAGCAGAAACCTATGGGTAAACTGTGGTTAGAACAGTATGGAATGGTAGAAACTGTAAATCACGGTACTGGAGATAAATGTGTCCTTAATTTTAAACTCTGTGGACTGTTTGGGAAAGAGATTCACAGAGTAGAGGGATGCTTTCAGGACAAAAACAGGTCTTCACACCTCTTGTGATGCTTGCCAAAGAGCTTGTGCCTGCCAAAGGTAAATTTTTTCCAGTGTTGTGGTATCTGTCTTTAAACCAGTTCTTGCAGTGAGGTGGAAAGCATATACTCCGGCTCTGAATCCCATTTTTAGTAATGGCAATTATAACTCATCATCCGTTGCTCTTGTAGGAAGAGCATAGCTAGTCTTTCTCAAATAACTTCAGGACAAGGATAATTATATGACATTTAAAACAAAGGCAAAGTCTAGTTTATTCTCTCAGAGTAAATGTTTGATTAAGCATTTTGTAAACTGAGGTACAAAAAGCAACAAAACATATTGTCAGTAGTGTCCTGAAGCTTATCTCTGTCACCATGTGTTACTGGAAAATTTGAACAGTTGTTGCTGCCCTCATGTTGAGTGTCTTAGACACCCTGCCTAGACAGCAAAGCCTGAGACACTGCCTCTGTTTTGGATTTAGTACTGGAAGAATGTTGATAACACACTAATGGTTTAGTTGTTGCTGAGCAGTGCTTACACCAAAGACTTTTCAGCTTCCCATGCTCTGCCAGGTGCACAAGAAGCTGGGAGGGGACACAGCCAGGACAGCTGACCCAAACTTGTCAAAGGGCTATTCCATACCATATGATGTCATGCTCAGTATATAAGATGGATGAAGAAGAAGGAAGGGGGCATGTTTGGAGTTGTGGCATTTGTCTTCCCAAGTGATGGAGCCCTGCTTTCCTGGAGATGTCTGAGCACCTGCCAGCCAATGGGAAGGAGTGAATTAATTCCTTTTTTTGCTTTGCTTGAGTGCACGGCTTTTGCTTTACTTATTAAACTGTGTTTATCTCAACCCATGAGTTTTCTCACTTTTACTCTTCCGACTCTTCCGATTCTCTCCCCCATCCCACTGTGGGGGGAGTGAGTGAGCAGCTGCGTGGTGCTGAGTTGCCAGTCAGGGTTAAACCACAGCATTAGTTGTGCACATTGCTGCCCAGTCTCTCTAGGTCAGATAACTCCTTCCTGCAAGTTAAAATAATTCATAAACAATATATCTCAGGAAAAAATGATACCTGTCTTATTAACACTGCAAACACATGTTGGTCACTCGCATTCACAGGAACTAAGCAAAGCATAGAGATGTAACAAATAATGACTTTGGGAATGACATTATCTCTCCACCACAGTTGCTGTAGGGACATGCAGTCATAATTGCCAGATTGCAAGCACTCTGCCTGAATTTTGTTCATATTTTTTCTTGTGCAGTGTTGAATCAAAAACTGACTTTCTGTTAAGTACGGGAATGCTATTTACTTCTATTACAATGCATGGGATTAGAATGCCCAACACACTACCCTATAGCACTGCAAGTCTCCAGAGATCCAGTTGTCTTGCTCTTTCGCTGTTCATTCAGCAAAGATCACGTTTCACTGCCCTTTCTCCTCATGACACAGCTGTGCCAGTTTTCATCTCTCCTGAAATTACACAAATGCATCTCTTCATAGGGGATGTGAGATAGGGGGTTATGCATCACCTTTCACGGCAGAGCCAGAGTAAAAGCTGCAGGGCTTGCTACCAAATGAAGAACAGTAGATGAGGTAGCAGTGACAACTATGATTTGGGTGTGTGAGTGATGACACTGAGGAGTACAAAAAGCATTGGCAGCTTGTGAGACTCTCTGCAGGAGCCCACCACTTCCTTGTAACACTGCTGGAGATGCTGCCAGTCAAACTGTCTGAAAATCTTATCCTTCTTAGATCTTCATCACTGCTGAAGCTAGATTTTCTTAGTGTGATCTATGGGAGAGGGCAGGACCTGAAATTATGATAGTCATACCTGGCAGGGTGTCCTAGCTTGGACCCAGCAGCTTCCATGGGCATGGTAGAATCATGCTTTTTTTGTCTGAAGCCAGCAAGCCAATCAAATCTGATAGGTTTAAATTTAAGCTTTAAATTCATATTTAAGAAGTTGTCAGATGCTCTATCCAAGATTAAAGGTCTCTTTTGGCTAGGTATATCAACACCCATAATTTGCTTTTTTAGCACTGACAAACAGCCTTTATTTTTTTTTATTTTTTTTTCTGTAAGTTCATTGTGCTTTGCCCTAGAGATCACAGAGGTACGAGACACTTCCCTTGAGGAATTACACTGAAATATTTAAGAAGCTTTGCTTCCTGCCCGCAGAAACCTGTGTTACTGTAAGAACATTTCCCATTATACAGTTGCTTGAGGGTTTTAGATGTTTTTTTAGGAAGACATTTTATGGCTATTAGTCATTTTCTCTTTCTGAGTTAGAGGTAACCTAAAAGACATGCTTTATTTAAAGCTTTTTTAGCTTTTGTTGATACACAGGGAATACATAAGTAAGTGCTATGAAAGTGATGACTATGTTCATGATTTGTACTAATAATTGAGTATGATCATAGACATTCAGCTGAAGAACAGTCGAGTCTCATTCTGGAGAAAGTCAGAGAAAAACTGACTGGACATTTTGTTTAAGAGACCAAGATACAATTAGGCAATCATTTTTGTATATCAAAGGTTTAAGTTTTACTTCTGCTTATCTCTTCCTATTCTGCAACTGTTAGACTTCCTTACCAAATCCTGTAGTAAGACATACCTAAGACAGTGGAAACAAGCAAGCAAGGTGATGACTCAGTTTTCCACTTAATATTTACCTCCAATAACCTTTGTGTCACATTTTCCAAAGGTCCCAGTCTTGACAGCATGTCCAGTCATCCTCAAATTATCCTTGCGAGCCTGCAAGCACAGATGATGGTAAATAAAATTATTTTATTCTAAATTATTATTTTAAAAACGTCTTCTCAAATGTGTATATGAATTCATATATGACACAATTTTTCACAAGTCTGATAAATAAGTAACTAGCATTCCCACTGTTAAATTTTACATTTTGAACCCTAGTCTTCCCTTAGGGAGTCTTGTTGTCTTGTGACTCTTCTGAACTGTCTTCTTAACAAAACAAAAACTCTGTTTTATTAACACTATAATTTTCTCCAGTCTTATTCTAGCTCCGCAAACTCAGACACACTCCAATGGCCTCTAGAGCATTGTTTTTTCCATAAAAGAAGTGTTGCTTCCATGTTATCTATATGAGGAAAATTAGATCTTTTTCTACAACCTGGACTGGTCTAATTAAATACCTAAATATCTTTCACTTCAATAACAGTTCAGCTTTAGTTAGCATCCTGGCCACCATGATTCATGGAAAATATTCACAGGGTAGCAGTGTTCTTTCTTAGAGTCCAAGCTATATAGCCACATTATTTATTTTGCAAGGTGAAAGTTCGTTCTCTTCACAAACACAAATCATTTGATATAGCAGGGCATCTTACAATACTGCCTGCATCATAGAAAAATTACTCTGAGTCATTCTGATTCATGAGTCCTTCTGACTATCTCCTTGAGGAGCTGCAAGTTTGCTTTTCTAAAATTCAGAGTCCTGACTATACTCTTTGATTATCTCTCCACCACAGTTGCTGTAGGGACATGCAGTCATAATTGCCAGATTGCAAGCACTCTGCCTGAATTTTGTTCATATTTTTTCTTGTGCAGTGTTGAATCAAAAACTGACTTTCTGTTAAGTACGGGAATGCTATTTACTTCTATTACAATGCATGGGATTAGAATGCCCAACACACTACCCTATAGCACTGCAAGTCTCCAGAGATCCAGTTGTCTTGCTCTTTCGCTGTTCATTCAGCAAAGATCACGTTTCACTGCCCTTTCTCCTCATGACACAGCTGTGCCAGTTTTCATCTCTCCTGAAATTACACAAATGCATCTCTTCATAGGGGATGTGAGATAGGGGGTTATGCATCACCTTTCACGGCAGAGCCAGAGTAAAAGCTGCAGGGCTTGCTACCAAATGAAGAACAGTAGATGAGGTAGCAGTGACAACTATGATTTGGGTGTGTGAGTGATGACACTGAGGAGTACAAAAAGCATTGGCAGCTTGTGAGACTCTCTGCAGGAGCCCACCACTTCCTTGTAACACTGCTGGAGATGCTGCCAGTCAAACTGTCTGAAAATCTTATCCTTCTTAGATCTTCATCACTGCTGAAGCTAGATTTTCTTAGTGTGATCTATGGGAGAGGGCAGGACCTGAAATTATGATAGTCATACCTGGCAGGGTGTCCTAGCTTGGACCCAGCAGCTTCCATGGGCATGGTAGAATCATGCTTTTTTTGTCTGAAGCCAGCAAGCCAATCAAATCTGATAGGTTTAAATTTAAGCTTTAAATTCATATTTAAGAAGTTGTCAGATGCTCTATCCAAGATTAAAGGTCTCTTTTGGCTAGGTATATCAACACCCATAATTTGCTTTTTTAGCACTGACAAACAGCCTTTATTTTTTTTTATTTTTTTTTCTGTAAGTTCATTGTGCTTTGCCCTAGAGATCACAGAGGTACGAGATACTTCCCTTGAGGAATTACACTGAAATATTTAAGAAGCTTTGCTTCCTGCCCGCAGAAACCTGTGTTACTGTAAGAACATTTCCCATTATACAGTTGCTTGAGGGTTTTAGATGTTTTTTTAGGAAGACATTTTATGGCTATTAGTCATTTTCTCTTTCTGAGTTAGAGGTAACCTAAAAGACATGCTTTATTTAAAGCTTTTTTAGCTTTTGTTGATACACAGGGAATACATAAGTAAGTGCTATGAAAGTGATGACTATGTTCATGATTTGTACTAATAATTGAGTATGATCATAGACATTCAGCTGAAGAACAGTCGAGTCTCATTCTGGAGAAAGTCAGAGAAAAACTGACTGGACATTTTGTTTAAGAGACCAAGATACAATTAGGCAATCATTTTTGTATATCAAAGGTTTAAGTTTTACTTCTGCTTATCTCTTCCTATTCTGCAACTGTTAGACTTCCTTACCAAATCCTGTAGTAAGACATACCTAAGACAGTGGAAACAAGCAAGCAAGGTGATGACTCAGTTTTCCACTTAATATTTACCTCCAATAACCTTTGTGTCACATTTTCCAAAGGTCCCAGTC